GACCCCGGTCCAGCCCTTCCTTTCTACTTTCTCTGTATCCATGCTCATCCCTTTTATGATCGCAGACAGCCTTGCAGCTGCCAGACCTTCCTGTCCCGGCAAGTCCAGGGTGCATCTCTCGGTTCCCAAGAGGCTCGAGTCTCCTGTAGTCATGGCCTCTCTACTTGGATACCTTCAAGACGACACTGTACATGCTCAAAATTGATGTTCTCTTCTCCTCCTCCCAGACATACCTGCTGTCCTTCCAACCCACCTCCCTCTCAGTCAGTGGTAACTCCTCCTAGTGACTCAGGCTCGGAACCTTGGAGCTATGAGACTCTTGTGCTCGCACCTAATTATGGTCTATCAGTTGATCCTGTCACCGCTACCTTCAAAAGATACCAAGCTCGGGGGGGGGGGGTGTGCACATGCCTTTAATCTCAGCACTCAGGAGGCAGAGAGACAGGCAGATCTCTGTGAGTTCTAGGCTAGCCTGGTCTACTGAACGAGTTCCAGGACAGCTTCCAAAGCTACGGAAAAACCTTGTCTCAAAAAACAAAAAGAAAAAGAAAAACAAAACAAACTCCACAAAAACCTGGCCATATCTTACTACCACTGCCCCTAACACCTGAAGCACGCCTTCCTCACAACATGCTTGTGCTAGTGCAGTAGCTTCCTCATTGGAAGCAGCATCTAGCCTACTCCAAACAGCAGCCGGAAGGAGCCCTAAGAACATGACTTTCGTGCCACTCGCTCCTCCCCTCCATTTGGTGCAAAAGTGAAGTGCAGAGCAGTGGTGGAGCATGAGCAGTGGTGGAGCATGAGCAGGTCTCCAGTGCCCCTCTGATCTTCCGTATCTCCCACCTCTCCCCTCAGTTACCTTCTGCCAGCCACACTGGCCTCCTTGCTGTCATCAGATTTGGGCAGGGTGCCCTCTATGCTTACTGTCTCCTCTGCCTGAGTTTCCCCAGGGCTTGCTCCCCCTCCTTCCAACCGTTCTGGGTCATTCTCAGTATGCCCTTTCCCAAGAACCGTAAGTAAAGCAGACAACAGACAGCAGCAGTGGCAACTCTCCTGCAGTCGAAAATTCTTCCCTCTTTTTCTCCAAAGGCTTATCATCCTCTGCGACCATATACTCACCGAATGTGAGCTTTATGAGAGCAGAAGCATTCTGTTCTATCCCCGAGTCTCCTGATAGAGAACAGACCTGCAGAAGGACTCAGCAAATATCTGTGAAACAAACCAGGCTGAGGGGAAAACTTCAAAATTTTATACCTTCTGCATGTGAGGGGTGTGTGTGTGTGTGTGTGTGCATGTGTGTATATGCACACAAATGTTATTGCCGGAGTCCTGAGATCTGAATTTAGGTCCATATGATTGAGCAGCAAGCATGCTTACCTACTAAGCCAGCCCCACATACTGTTTTCTTTCAAGCCATTAGAAAGCACAACTTAGTTTAAGCACTAGTCTGTCTGGGCCTCTGCACATTTATGCAACTGCATCTGTAAGGCAGGAGAAGCACCCTTCCTTTTCTTGGTATCCTACTTCCTGTAAAACTATGAGTAGTGGGCTGGAGAGATGGCTCAGCGGTTAAGAGCACTGACTGCTCTTCCAGAGGTCCTGAGTTCAATTCCCAGCAACCACATGGTGGCTCACAACTTATCTGTAATGAGGTCTGGCGCCCTCTTCTGGTGTGCAGGCAAACAACATGCAGGTAGAACACTATATATAATAAATAACAAAATCTTTTTTTTTAAGATTTATTTATTTATTACATATACAGTGTTCTGCTTACATGTCAGAAGAGGGCACCAGGTTGAGTTGATGGTTGTGAGCCACCATGTGGTTGCTGGGAATTGAACTCAGGACCTCTGGAAGAGCAGTCAATGCTCTTAACCTCTGAGCCATCTCTCCAGCCCAAATAACAAAATCTTAAAAAGAAAAGACTGTGAGTAGGCCACCTTGCCTAAGGTGAGCATGACTGTAATAAACACCAGCACTCAGTAAAAGCCATTCAGGGGGGTCATTCTTCCTTTATATAAATTCTATAACTAGATGAGTCTGGTCACACATGTTTAGATGGTAGAACTGAGGTTCCAACTTTCATGGAATTGTCACAACTCTGGGATGCTTCCCCTGAGTTCTCCAGTGTCCTCCATGGGGACAGCATGGACTTTAGAGAAGACGATCACTCAAACTCTTGAGCTAACATTGTAGTTCTCTTGAAAGAGGATCCAGTCACAGTTATAGGGAAAATATGCTTTCTCGGCACACAGAAGCAACAGGTTTGTTGCTTGTTTTTTTTAATCTTTGTATTGTTTGTGAATTTTTCAGTTGTTAGGGACAAAAACTCAACCACCACTGGCTAAAACAAGTGAACATGGGAATGGCAGCCATCCTGAAATCCAAGGGGCAGAGGGGCTTCTGGTCAGCTGGAAATGGGGGCCAGGAAGACCAGGCTTTCTTCACCTACAGAGCCATTTCTCCTGTGTTTCTGGCTTCCTGTCCCCTGACTGTCCCAGAAGCACTAAGACGCCCCTGATAACTCCATCATTGGAATTCTGGGATCCTATTAAACAGTGTCTCATTGCTCTGGTCTGACTCATACATCTTTTCCTGCTCTAGTCTTTATGCTGAGAATGGGAGGCAGATTAGCCCGTCTGGCACAGCCCCTCCCTCTACAGAGGAGGTAGGTGCACAGTCTGACCAACACACAGGATGAACACAGCAGAGGGGCAGGGGTCACAAGGAACTCATGAGAGAGAGAGAGAGAGAGAGAGAGAGAGAGAGAGAGAGAGAGAGCATGTAGGTTGATATCAATGTGTGTCTACCACAGCACCCATGTGGAGGTCAGAGGATGACATTTGGAGTTGGTCTTCTTCTACCATATGAATCTTAGAGACTGAACTCAGGTAGCCATGCTTAGCAGCAAGTCCCTTTACTACTGGGCCTTGTTTTTTTGTTTTTGTTTTTGTTTTTCGAGACAGGGTTTCTCTGTCGCTTTGGAGGCTGTCCTGGAACTAGCTCTTGTAGACCAGGCTGGCCTCGAACTCACAGAGATCCACCTGCCTCTGCCTCCCGAGTGCTGGGATTAAAGGCGTGCGCCACCAACGCCCGGCCTTACTGGGCCTTGTTTTAAGGTAAGGTCTCACTATGTAGCCGTGGCTGACCTCAAACTCAAAGATCAGTTTATCTTTGCCTCCTAAGTGCTGGGCTTAAAGGCGAGTATTGCCACGCCCAGTCATTTTATCACCCTTTGGTTTGTTTATTTATTTATTGCTTTTTTTGAGACAAGGCTTTTCTGCATAGCCCTAGCTGTCCTGGAACTCATTCTGTATACCAGACTGGCCTTGAACTCACAGAGATCTGCCTGCCTCTGCCTCCCGAGTGCTGGGATTAAAGGCATGCACCACCAACGCCCGGCTAAGGGCTCTCTATTCTTGTGTAAATTTTATTTTATTTTTTTGGCTTTTCAAGACAGGGTTTCTCTGTTGGAGCCTGTCCTGGAACTCACTCAGTAGATCAGACTGGCCTTGAACTCACAGAGATCTGCCTGCCTCTGCCTCCTGAGTGCTGGTATTAAAGGCGTGCACCACCACTATCCGGCTAATTTTTGTTGTGTAATTTTAGGGGGCTCTCTATTCTTTTCCTGATATTTCAATATTAACCATAATTGACAAATAACTAGAATGTGGGGGGAGGGGTGTGGTTCAGAGGCTGAGCACTTTCAGAATGTCTAAGGGCCCAGGTTCCATCCCCCTGCAATGCAAAATAAATAACATTATTGACAACACACTACAATTAGAAAAAGACTTTCAGACCTGATTTTTCATTTCAGATGAGTAAAAAAATTGAAATATCAACCACTGGCTTTTTCTTATCTGAGTGTGCCTAGGAACTGCAGGCTAGATTAGAGACTAAACAAGACTCTGTGCAAATGTAAGGACGCGAGTCCAAGCTCCTAGCACCCAGGTACAAGTCTGGCGTGGCTGGGTACACACCCATACTCCAGCACTGAGATAGGAGGTGGAGACAGGAGGATTACTGGGCCTTCAGCCCAGCCCCCAGGTTCAAAGAGAGCCTGTTCAGTGAAAGATCCTGTCCCAAGGGAATAAGGCAGAGGTGATGATAAAACAGGACACCTAAGTTCCTCCTCTGACCTCTGCACAGGCTCACTTTGTACACACACACACACACACACACACACACACACACACACACACACACACACACCACGGGGGAAACACCCTTATGAGGAGGTGAGCTTGAGGCCCCTCTCCCCGGAGAAGGCAGTGGGACTCCACATGTTTCAAATAGGTCTCGTTTTGTCCCCATTTCCATTTCCACCCACATGCGGCCAGGCAGCCGCCCCTACTGGTTGCTCAGGTTGGACAGGGAGTATGCTGGTGGCTGGTATTTTCCCTTAAAGCGTCTTGGCAGGATTCCTGGCAGTTTAGATCCTTGGATATCAGGGGCTGGGCAGGTGGCTGTGCTTTATCAACAGGATGAGTCTTACAGGTGTTTCATAAGGCCCAGGAAGAAGTCTGTTCCCTGACCCTTACCTTCCCCAACTCAACCTGTGTTCTCTCTGCTTCTTAGATGTGGCCCAATTTACCACCAAACATAGCCTTTTCTGTCAGCTGTATACAGGGACTAAGGCGGCAAGCAGGTTGGCTATTGCTGGTTTCTGCTTCTTTATTCACTTGGAAAACGGACTTGACACAGACTGGGCAGTTAGAGCCAGCCTGTGAATGCTGGCAGAGTTCCTTTCCACTGTTGGAGGCAGAATGATGTAATGGAAAGAGCTCAGGTCTGGGACACTGATGGGCAGGCCCTTCTTAGCCTCGTGACCAGCCCTTTCCCTCTCTCTGCCTCAGTTTCCCAAATTTAAGACAAGAGGATTGGCCCAGATGGCCCCAGAGGCTTTCTCGAAGCTGGTTCTTCTGGGTTAGGCAGCTCAGATACAGGAAGGGTCCCCGGCTGTTCTGTCTTCCAAAAGGATCTCCACTGACACAACTTACTGTTGCTCAGTGTTTTATTTACTGTGTAAATTCCATTCAAAAGTACAGGATTATGATTGGAATTAGGAGTAGCTCACAGCCACGAGCGTACCAGGCAGCGTTCAAGCACTATGCGGCTGCTAGCCCCAGCCAAGTGCTATGGCTTTAAAGTAAGATGGAAGCCTCCCTTTGGACTGTACACAGCTGAGTCAAGGAGACGGATGAGTAAATCAGTCATTCCACTGCGCTGTGATGAATAATACCACTCTAGCGTGTTTATAAGGCACATGCAGAGAATGACCATATAAACCTGGGGTGGAGTCCGTTGTGGTCTCCAGCAAGAAGTGGCACTGAGGAGATGGATGTATCACCTACGAGAATAGAATGGGGATCAGATCTCTTAGATCACGGTGTCCGCTCAACCTGTCACCTGTCATTCCACACATCTCTTCCCTTAAGGACCATCAGTTCTCCCAGAGTCTGACTAGTAATTCCTTGGGTCTGGAGTGTGATTGGAACAGTGGGCACTAAAATGGAGTCGTTGGAACAGGTTTTGAGTAGGTTGGAAAGCTGGATGTTTCTCTGGCGTTGCCCCCGGAGGCAGAGGAACTATGGGCTCCAACAGCATTATATTTTATTAGTCAGCTCAAATGTTGAAAACCTGCATTCGGTTCACACACGCAATATCCCTTTATTTTCCTTGTCTCCTTTTTCTGGTGCATGGTGGGAAGAATGAGTTGGAGGGACCACAAGGCGGTCGGAGTCTGAGAAACCTCTGCAGTCATGGCAGGCTTCTTGGAGAAGGTGTCGGGCAGGAAAGGTGAGGAATAGCTGGACTAGTTAGGTTAGGCACCTTGGCTCTAAGGGCCTCCTAGATCCCGGACTGCACTCGGCCGCGCCACCCTTCCCGCGTTCGACCTTTGTTCCTGCACTAACCTCCCACCAACCTAAGTGGTGTTGTTATCACTTCCCCTTTTTGCGCCGTGCGTGACTCCAGGCTCGCCCTCGGCGCCTGCTTCCCTGGCCGCGCGGGGCCGCGGGCGCATCCCGGGGCTGTGAAGTGTCCTCGGCGGCGCGGCCAGGCCCCGCCTCCAACCCCGCGGTTCAAGTGCAGGCTCGGAGCGGCGAACCGGGTCGCACCTCGGCGCAACCTGCGGGCTCCGGGGGAGCCTCTCCCCGCCGCGCCGGCTGGCGGGAGCGGACGGAGGCCGGCGCTGCCCGTTAGCAGCCGCGGCGGCAGGAGCCTCTTAATTACTCACCACGCTAATTGCCCGGCACTGAACTTCAGGAGCTTGTCCGAAGCGGAGCTCCGGGGCGCAGAGGAGGCAGGAGGTGTCTCGGGCCGGGCTCCGCCAGGGTTAAGTGCCCGCCCGTCCCCGGCTGGCGGCCAGCTCGCCTTCCGCGGGAGGCCAGAGTCACGGCCCGGGGGACCGGGAGGTGCGCCCGGACCACACCGGACCCCCTCCCCCATCGCCGCCTCTAGGAGGCGCAGAAAGTGGGGGGCGCCAGCCTGGCGCGGGGGGCGGGCGCGGAGAGCCAGAGGGGCTGCGGGGACACCGAGATGGCCGATGAGATCGACTGGCTGGACCTGCCAGGCCGATGGACCTACGGAGTGGATCGCGGCGGGAGAATCTTCTTCATCAAGTATGTGGTGCTCTTTCTCACCTCCCCGGTTTCGACTTTTTCTTTAAAGTTGAAAGATGGCAAGGCTGGGGGCGGGGGGCCGGTCAGGCTGGGGGGAGTGTAGGGAGGGGTGGCTGACTAATAAGTTTACCAAGATACCTGTTTGAATGTGACTCCCGCCTTTTCCTCAGTGGGTCAAAGTCCAGCTGAGGCTCACAGGCTCCCTTCCCTGAGCCAGAGAGGCAGGGCAGGCGGGGCGGCCTTGAGCCTCTTTCCCGACCGCAGCACCCCGCAGCAAGTTCCTTCAGTTCTTAGGCTGAAAGGAGGACAGGCGACTTGTTTCCTCCAGACTTGGGCAAAATGACAACGTATTAGGAGCCCCTGCCCCTGCCACCTGCTCACTGCAAGGCTCCAGCCCTCAGCACCGCAGCTCCTCCCCCTGCCTGCTGCTTCCCTGGGTCTGTGGTCAGGAGGGAGGAGAAGCCGATGCTTGGAGCATTCTTTGCTGCTCTCAGTGATAAATTAGCACCGTTCTATTAATTTCATAAACCAAATGGCTGTGGCATAATCTCATTATAGCAAAGTGGCCCTGTTTGGCCCCTTTTTGGCTGGCTTCTCTTACAGCCATTCATTGCCAGGAAAGAAATCTCCCAATGATGTAGCAAGTGTATATAGCAGAGCAGTTTGGACTGGTCCCACAATTGACAAGCTTCTTCTTCAAGATGGTCACTCAGAGAACATCAGAGCTGAAGAGGACGGGGGGGGGGGGGGCTTGCGTTGTTATCACAGGACCTAAGGTCTGGAGAGATGCACAGTGTATGTCTGAGACAGGACCACTAGTCAGGCATGACACAGCGACAGCTTGAGCCCACCTTCTCTTTGGCATGGGTGTTGTTTGGGTTTCTGTTTCCACACTTGCTTAGCACTTTCTTCAGCCATTATCACCACTACTTACCATAACTGACCATGATCTGTATTATCTTAGCAGTAATTTCACTGACGGTCTTGGCCCTAGGTTAGGAGCCTAAATAACAGAATGTCTCTAGGATTAAAAAGAGAGTCCCTTCCCACAATGGTTTGAGCCTTCAAAATCCATAAAAATCCCTCTGGGTGAAGTGTGGTGGAGTGTGCCTATGGCCCTAGTTACTAAGGAGGCTGAGGCAGGGGGGTCACTTGACCTAAGAGTTTGAGGTAGAGACCTCAAAAATAAAAAACCAAAAATGAACTAAAATAAGAAATCATCCAGCGAATTTACTGAAAAGACTCATCCCAGGCTGTGTGTGGCAGCACACACCTTCAATCCCAGTACTTCAGTGACAGAAGCGAGGCGGTCTCTGAGTCCCAGGCCAGCCAAGATTACATAGCAAGACTCTGCCTTAAAAAGACAAAAAACAAGCTGGGCATTGGTAGTGCACGCCTTTAATCCCAGCACTCGGGAGGCAGAGGCAGGCGGATCTCTGTGAGTTCCAGGCCAGGCTGGACGGACAGCCTCCAAAACAATACAGAGAAACCCTGTCTTGTAAACAAACAAACACAAAAACAAAAAAACAGCCGGGTGTTGGTAGCGCATGCATTTAATCTCAGCACTTGGGAGGCAGAGGCAGGCAGATCTCTGTGAGTTTGAGGCCAACCTGGTCTACAGAGCGAGTGCCAGGATAGGCTCCAAAACTACACAGAGAAACCCCATCTCGAAAAACCGAGAGAGAGAGAGAGAGAGAGAGAGAGAGAGAGAGAGAGAGAGAGAGAGAGAGAGAGAGAGGCAAAACTCAACAAACAAAAAAGACTGATCCCTGAGTCATCCCCCCAAACCCTCCCACCCTCACTAACTTACCCACCCCACTCCCACTGGTTCCTATTCTGAGCACACACAGCCCGATGGCCTGAAATCCCAAGAGCTCCCAATATGGTGACTGAGTTTGCTCCCCAGTTTCCTCTTAGCCTTTCCTTTTCATTCCACAGCCTCACATGGAACATTCACTTTTTCCAGCAACACAAAAATAAAAACAATAAGCTATATGCTTTGCCTTTAAGGTGGTGGGAGAAATCTAGGAATAACATGATATATCCCAGGTGGCAGTGACTTGTGTGATGCTGCCCATGGGACCCATTGGGGAAAAAAACCAAGACCTTGAAGGGAGACTGGGGAGGCTATCCAGGGATCAGTGCTGGACTGTGGCTAAAGGGGAAGGGAAGAGTAAAGTGGCCTTGGGCAGAGTCAGGCCTCCTAAGAAAGGCAGAGTGGGCTCTAGGCAAAGGTACTAGACTCTTGGGTCACAGTGGAGATGGAGGTGGGGGGTTGTAGAGAAAGTAAGACAGAAAAGCAGAAGCAGGCAGCATGAGCAACAAGGGTCATGAGTCTATTCTGCAAGAGACAGAGAGCCTCAGGCGATTCACCCCAGGGCTGGACACCCGTAGGATCTGCATCCAGTAGGATCCCTCTGGCTGCTGTGAGGGCTGGTCTGAGTGTGTGTGTGTATGTGGTGTGTGTATGTGTGTGGGGTGTGTGTGTGTGTGTGTGTGTGTGGTGTATGTGTGTGTGGGGTGTGTGTATGTGTGTGTGTGTGGTGTGTATGTGGTGTGTATGTGGTGTGTGTGTGTGTGCCTGTGCACTCCAGAGTAGAGCATGGTTAGGAAGCTGCTGTGAAAGCTGGAAGTCTGAGGCAGCTGCAGGTGCATGAACTAAAGCAGGGAGAAAGGGGAGGAAAGGGGAGGGAGCAGAGGAACATCTCTCGGGAGATTACGAGTGTCCCGTGGCTGAATGTGGGGAAGGGAAGAGGCACCTCACAATGTCTCGCTTGAGTTTGGTGGAGATCAAGACTAAGAGACAAGGAGCCCAGCTTGTGTGTGTGTGGGGAGTGGGGCATAAGTTCAACGGTGAAATGTTGAAGTTGAGGTCCCTGTGTGCCACCCATAGGGTTGGGTACATTATCTGGCATTTGAGAGAAGCTGGGTCTAAAGAGGGTCCTCTAGGAGTTGTCTTGCAGAGGGGACCTCCCAGAGTATGAGCGAGGTGACAGGAAGATAGCCAGGCCGCATCAGTATTTAAGGAGAGAACAGGGAGAGACAGGCCAGTTTGGGAGTGAGAACGGGGTGGGGGTGGGGGTCTGAGGTGAGCAGTACCAGGGTTAGAGAAGAAAGAAGACACGGGGAACTTGAGAAGGAATTAGGAAGGATTGGTCAATATAGCAGAAAAGCCAAAAGAGTCAAAGGTTAGGAAGTGGCCTAGTCTTAGGAGTGTGGGAGGGCTGTCCATAGTGGAAAGTGGTTTCAGGGGAGGCTGGGAACAGAGTCCAGAATAATGGGGGTGGGTGGGCAGGATGCCAGCAAGCAGGAGAGACTTGCTGGGGGGGATGCTGGATTGAGAAGGAGGGTGCAGAGAGGAAGTTGGAGGAGAGGGAGGTGTCACTGAGACGGAGATGGGGAAGTGTACCATATGAGACACAGACAGCCGTGGAGGGAAAGTGCTGTGTGCTGCAGGGAGTAGTTGTTCATGATTCAGCGGGGGCTCTCAGTAGCCAGAGGCTTTAGAAGATGGGCAAGGGAAGGGAGGTAGCCGAAGGAGAGTGCTAGCCTCAGGGGAGAGAAGGCTCACTTCTCCAGTGCAGAGGCCAGATGGAAAGAACAGGCGGGGAACTGAGTGTGCTTGCAGGTAGCGTAGAAACGTGGAGAACCTGGTGACCCTTTCTTCAGTTACCGGCAGTAGAGAGTGCAGTGTAGTATGGGTGAAGGAGAGCAGACAGGCGCTCAAGGCCAGTGGAGGAGACTAGAGTGGTCACCCACCGATACCCCGATGAAGGGCACAATCCTACCCGAAGATTGGACTTTTAGTGACACCAGCCCTCTCGGGTCTGTTTCCCCATCAGTGCTAAGGCCAGGCAATCTGGAGCGGCCTCCTTCTGGGTCAGGCTGACAAGGGGAGGAGGCAGGGGATAAACAGGGAGCTGAAGGCTGTGGTGGAAAGGCCATCCTGTGATGGGGCTATCCACAGCATTCAGGTGAGGTGGATGGAGGGGAAGTCTGGGGGAGAGCCACTGTGTGAGAGGAGGGATGGGTTCCAGCAGCGTAAGAGGCTGAGGACACTGGCTCCCTCCAGCCATTTGCATTCCTGGCCTTCTTCTCTGGCTTCTAGCCAGCACCAACCCCAGACCCAAGGCCCCGCTATTAGAGGCCATCTCCTACAGCTCCCGGTGGCTTCAGAGTTCAAGAGGCCACTAGAATTGTGACTTTGTTTTTTCTGTGCTTGGCAGAGGGGTGGGTTAGTTGGAAAGTCTCTCTGTATAGCGGGCGTCCAGCTTCAGAGAAAAATTAATAAAGTCGCCTTTAATCCCAGCACTTGGGATGCAGGCAGATCTCTGTGAGTTCCAGGCCAGCCTGGTCTACAAAGGAAGTTTCAGGATAGCTGGGGTTATTACACAGAAAAACCCTGCCTTGAAAAACAAAACAAGACAAAATGAAGTCAAAAGAAAAAGACAAAGGACACATGTCCCTTCACTTCCCACATATGTTCACCGCAGCTTAGCTCGTACTGGCCCCAGCAGAGGGCCTTCTGTATGTCCATCGCATGGGGGTGGGTGGCACACCCTTCACGAAATGCTGCTGAGGGCCAATCATGAATTACTAATGCTACAGTGTGGAAGAGAGGAGGGACGCGGGAAGGAGGTTAAGATAGCGAAGTCTGGCTTGTATGATTCCTTCTGTGTAAACCAGACACTCGCTGAGGTATGTGTAAGGCAGATGGGCATTGCTGGGGAGGGGGAAGAATGGAAGACCTGGGGGGTAGACAGGGCTGGGAGGATGGGAGACGGGGGGGGGCACGAAGAGTTGGGGGTTCATTATCTTGATTTGGTGGCAGCCTTCAGGGTGTTCTTCACATTTGCCAGAACATTAGTTTATACACGCGTGCAGTTTCTTGTAAGTCTCACTATAATAAAAGTTGAGTAGACTCTTTCTTTGTGGCTCTTACGCATGCCAGTTGTTCCTGAGACACTGAGTGGGGTCTAATCTCAAGCCCCATCCTAGAGCCTGGGACATCTGGAAGTGCCTGCCCCCCCCCTTGTCCACCCTTAAATGGCCAAGACAGACAGGCAGGACCTTCATGTTGGGGCACATCTGGAAGAATTAGTGTCCCTTGGGTGGTGGGGTTAGAGGAAAATCTATGATCTCCTTTGCCCTCAGATAGACATTGTTGGGGAGCCCACCTCACCGGGTGTAAGACACTAGAAACATAATGGGATTGGAGAATGGGCAGACCTCTGAATCCTGGCTTTGTCATTTTCTGGTGTGACCTGGGCAAGTTACATAACGTCTCTGAAGTTCAGATTCACAATCTGTCTTTTT